CAACTTGGTATGTTTGAGCCACATTATTTTGGAAGAACGTATTTTGGAATTGTAGATTGGTGGAGAACGTGTGATTAAAAAAGAAGGGAAAATTATTAATGTGATGTAAAATATTGTTTTATTTAAGAATGTGTGGTTGAAAATGAGTAGAAAAATGATAATGAAAATTTTAACATGGTTCGAACAGAGTTAAATTGGAAACTCATTTTTATTATTGTTTGGTCATGTCCAATTATGTCCAATGGGTTATTTCTCATTCTAGCTATTACTTGGGAAAGAACTTCACAAAGTACATCAATTACTACTAAAAACGTGTTCTAAAAGGTGGGAAGATCAAGTTTCACGTCTGAAAGTGCTTTTTAGAACATTGCTAAGAATTACAATCACAAAATTTTTGCACACTGAATGTAAGTTTTTCTTATTTAAATATATGAAAGCATGTCTTGTCTTCATCCACGGCAAGAATTTATTAACATTAACCACAAATTACAGCTGTTTTATCAAGAGATTGACTCCATCTTTGGGCTCTATTATCATCCTCATAACCGGGGAATGAACATATTTGGGAGAGAGATCAAAAGAAAAGTTGGAAAGAATAAGAGCCATAAGGATCTTTAGTTCAACCATGGCCAAGTTTTGTCCTACACACACACGCTGCCCAAATCCAAAGGGCAAGTACGAGTAGTGGTTCTTGCATGCACCCGCAATTCCTTTTTCAAACCTTTCCGGTTTGAATTTCAGCGCGTCTGGTCCCCATATATCAGTGTCTGTGTGGAGCGTCGCCACCATGGTCCAGAGGTTCACGCCCTTGGGCACGTGAATTTCACCAATTTTCATGTCTGTTAGTACCTCCCTTGCTAATGTTGGCGAAGGAGGGTAAAGGCGCAAGGTTTCTTGAATTACCATGTTCAACTGTAAAACCATAGTGAAACTTGATGTTAATTAATCTTTGTTCTAGTGCTACACAAGACAAGAAGAATTTCTTCCAGACTACGGTGGAATGTGTATAAAACTAAATTTAAACAAATAAATGTGCATTCTATAGAAACGCTTAAACTTTTGAATGAAATGGTTCAGGAACGAATTCGGAAGAAACTCCAAATATGCAGGGGCAAAATTTTCTCAGCAGGGGGAAAAATTTCAAATGAAAGCGGTTGCTCAAGCCATCCCAACCTTCACCATGGACATGTTCCAACTCCCGGTTAGCCTTTATGACGAAATTAAGACTGATTCTCTCCTTCTAGTGACTCGGACTATTGAATAGAGGAAAATCCATTGGGCTAGATTGGAAGTTTTATGCATGCCAAAGGCAATAGGAAGGATGGGATTTCGACCAAGGCCTCCTAGCAAAGCAATGTTGGCGACTCATGAAAGGATAAATATTTCCACACTCATTCTTCTTATAAGCAGAGATAAAAGGGAGTGTCTCCTATTTATGGCGGAGTTTGTTATGGGGATGGGAGTTGCTACAAAAGGGAACGTGATGACGTATTTGTAATGGCGAGAAAATTACAGTCTTTAGCAGACCTTGGAACTCCTAGCAGTGGGGATCTTCTTCAAAAGGGTTGCAGATTTACTGAATGAGGATGGGAGTTGGCAACAAGACTTAATAGCCTGTGTTTGGAACTCATTTTAATGAGATTTTTGGACCCTTATCATATGTTGCTACAAGAACAAGCATATTTAAAATTTGAAAAGTGTCAACACATTCGTCAGAATGAGATAAATACCATAAGTGTCATCGAGCTGAGATGTAATGAACCAGCTTACCCTGTTTTTGTAATTGAAAACGAGTGTTGAAAATATAAGGCAAGGGTAAAAGTGAATTTCAACACATATTACTTGCATATCTCTAACAAAAGTCAGAGAAACAGTTGTTATCATAAATTTTCCCCTAAATTCAAAGAAAGACGGTCAGAATGCAAAAATAATGGAGGCCGAATGGACGCTTAGTCTGAGATCGATTCTTGCCGACGGATTCTGAGATTATGCTATCCCTACCTGGTGAGCATCCTTAGAGGCTGATTTGCCAATCTGGCACTTCGAAAACCATTGAGCATATGAGGTCAAATCAGGCTGTCATGTGGCTAGGAAGTGTTCTCGTGGTGGGCATTTCTTGAACTCATACCTTCTCTGCCTCGACTCCGGCAAAGGCATGTGGATATCACTACTTTGTGGTTTGTGCTCCAGATGCTCTGAATCGGATGAAGATAGTATTCACGCTATTTCACATGTCCTGCCATGGCGTCAATCTGGGAGATGTGCAAATTCAATGTTCAGACAGGTCTCTCTCACTCGGTGAGCGTTGGAACTGACCCCCACTATTATGGAAACCACAACTTTTCAACCATTGAGTTCATCGACTTTTATCAAAATCTACTAAAAATCTGATTTTAATCCCCACTAAACATGAATTTAGTGTTCTATAACAAGTGGTATAAGAGCTAAGGATCAAAGTTCTTGGGGGGAGTCAATTTGGTCTCATTATTAAAGCAAGGTTTTATCAATTCAGAACGAGGTTTGATTGTTTCGGGATGGAAAGTATGAAGTTTGAAATTCCCTTTTTGGATCCTAACAAGATTTTTTGTTATGGCAGATTTTTTGGCATCAGGCA